CCTAGTCCTTTCTTCCACCTCTTTCCTGTCCCTCCCCGCCGCCCACCCCTCCGCCTGCAGACTCTGCTCCCAGCGGCCAGTCTCCTGCAGCTGAACGGTGTTCGAGATGCGTGTTGCAAGTTCCTGCTGAGCCAGCTCGATCCATCCAACTGCCTGGGCATCCGGGGCTTCGCCGACACTCACTCCTGCAGTGACCTGCTCAAGGCTGCCCACAGGTACGTGCTGCAGCACTTCGTGGACGTGGCCAAGACTGAGGAGTTCATGCTGCTGCCGCTGAAGCAGGTAACGCTGCCGGCCAGCCGGCCTCAGACCCCACCTCCTGACCTTTAATCCTGACCCTGTCCCATCCCTGCATTTCTTCCTACATCCTTAGACCCCAGCCCAAAGGAACCAGATCTGAGGTTCTGGACCCTGCTCTCCCTGCTTCCCCCAAGAATACTGGGCCCTTGGCCAGGTAGACTCTCCCTCCTGGGCACCCTCAGAGATCCCTGGTCCCTCTCCAAACCTGCCTAGCCTGCGGCCCCATCTCCAGGTGCTGGAGCTGGTCTCCAGTGACAGCCTGAACGTGCCCTCTGAGGAGGATGTCTACCGCGCCGTCCTGAGCTGGGTCAAGCATGACGTGGACGCACGGAGGCAGCATGTCCCTCGGGTGAGAGTGCGCCTGGGCGTCCATGGGCCAGGAGGGGGGGGTCACAAGTGGCCAAGGGCCGACTGTGCCCAGTATCCCATTGATGGGGGATATCCTGTGGTCAGGGACCCTAGTACCAGTCCCCATGTGTCCACGTGGTGGTAGTGGCCAAGGAAGGCTGTGGGAGCTCACAGGAGGGCTCCAGCACTAGGCTGTGGGTCCCCGGGTCTCCCCTGACCCGGTGCCCCCTGCCCCAGTTGATGAAGTGCGTTCGGCTGCCCCTGCTGAGCCGTGACTTCCTGCTGGGCCACGTGGATGCTGAGGGGCTGGTGCGGCACCACCCCGACTGCAAGGACCTGCTCATTGAGGCCCTCAAGTTCCACCTGCTGCCCGAGCAGAGGGGTGTCCTGGGCACCAGCCGCACTCGGCCCCGCCGCTGTGAGGGTGCTGGCCCGGTCCTCTTCGCTGTGGGTACGCCTGACCCTCTGTGTCCCCTCCTATCCTTGTATATGCAGCCTTGTTCCCTGTGACCTCTGTGTCCCTGTCTGTTCTTGTGACATCTGCACAGGATCCACTCACTTGTCTCCGCCTCACCTTTACTCTCCCTTGGTCATTTTCCTACCCGAATCCCAACTGCATCTCCTTCATGTCGTCACACTGTGTCGGCCACTGCACTGTGTCTCTTCATGCCCTCTTCACATCTGTCACCCTCTGCCCACAGAGTCTCCTCCACTGTCCACCGTGTTGCCGTGGCCACTACACTCCCGCACCCAGCACAGTTCACTTCCACGTTAAAGCCTTCCCATGTGCACCTGCCATATCCCTACCCCATGTGCTGTCTTCACCCCCTGTTTTTCTACATCCACCACATCCCCACCCGCACCTGCCCCCAGCTCCACCCTGGAGTCTTTCAGGGACCCTGTACTACATGGCTCACCCTGTCAGACCCCCACATCAGCCCCTCAGCCCCATGTGCCCCTTCTACCCTCAGGTGGTGGGAGCCTATTTGCCATCCATGGGGACTGTGAGGCCTATGACACACGCACCGACCGATGGCACGTGGTGGCTTCCATGTCCACACGCCGGGCCCGGGTGGGTGTGGCGGCCATCAGCAACCGGCTGTATGCCGTGGGCGGGTAAGCACAGCACAGGCACGGGTCGGGCTTGGCACATGCCCTCTGGGCTGGCTCTGACTACCTCAGGGTCCTCTCCAGCTACGATGGGACCTCGGACCTGGCCACCGTGGAATCGTATGACCCCGTCACCAACACATGGCAGCCGGAGGTGTCCATGGGCACGAGGCGCAGCTGCCTGGGCGTGGCCCCCCTGCACGGGTTGCTTTACGCAACAGGCGGCTATGATGGGGCTTCCTGCCTTAACAGGTGCGTGGTGGGCTCTGCCTGGGCCACCCAGGATCAAAGGTCAACCAGGAGAGGCCCCCGAGACCCTTCCTGTTCCTCCAGCCCAGACAAGACCTTCCCTAGGGGTCAACAGGTAGCCCAGGCAGTGGCACTTTGGGGACAGGGCTTCACGGGGTTTGGTCCATGGGACTGCAAAGGCCAGTCCTGGGGCTGGGTGCCCTCCCCGCTTTTTCTTAGTGTCATCTGGCTTCTTCATCTGCAGTGCCGAGCGCTACGACCCCCTGACAGGAGCATGGACGTCCATCGCGGCCATGAGCACCCGGAGGCGCTATGTACGAGTAGCCACACTTGGTGGGTGCCTTGCTGCTGGCATGTGACCCACCGTTGCCCACCCATTTCCCCTGGGGGCCTTACCACACAGCAGGGACTCAGAGGCACTTTCTCTTACAGATGGGAGCCTATACGCTGTGGGCGGCTACGACAGCTCGTCACACCTGGCCACTGTGGAGAAGTACGAGCCGCAGGTGTGTTGTGTGTGTCTTGTAGCTCAGTTTCCCCAATTGCTGTCCAACAGCCAGCCATTGACCAGTGTTCCCTGAACTGCTGTCCCTACCAGCAGACCGCCTCCCCACAACCACTGTTCTCCTGGCAACTCTACCCCCACTAGCAGCCCCTCAGCCCTCTTCCCCTGGCTGCCACTCCCTAACCACTGACCCTGTCACTGCCCCTGTCCCTGGAGCTCGCCCTCTGAAGGCCAGCACCGCACTGTCTGCAGGTGAACGCGTGGACACCCGTGGCCTCCATGCTTAGCCGGCGCAGCTCTGCGGGCGTGGCCGTGCTGGAGGGCGCACTCTACGTGGCGGGGGGCAATGACGGCACCAGCTGCCTCAATTCAGTGGAGAGGTTCAGCCCCAAGGCCAGCGCCTGGGAGAGCGTGGCGCCCATGAACATTCGCAGGTCTGTGCCCAAGTCCTGGGTCCCTGTCAAGATGGGGAGTGTGCCAGAGAGGAGGGGTTATCACATCCACGGGAGGACATTCCCTCCTACACGGCAAGTCTGCCCGCCTAGAGTCCCGCAGAGGTCCCCAGAGACCTACTCCCCCTGGTCACATAGCCCTCTCTTCCATCGTGTCCCAGGAGCACACACGACCTGGTAGCCATGGACGGCTGGCTGTACGCTGTAGGCGGCAACGACGGCAGCTCCAGCCTCAACTCCATCGAGAAGTACAACCCCCGGACCAACAAATGGGTGGCCGCGTCCTGCATGTTCACCAGGCGCAGCAGCGTGGGCGTGGCCGTCCTCGAGCTGCTCAACTTCCCGCCTCCGTCCTCGCCCACGCTGTCCGTGTCCTCCACCAGCCTCTGACCCGCAGGACCGCGCGCCAGCGCCCAGATGCCTTAAGCCTCCCTGGCGGCCTCAGCTCCTCCCGTCCTCACCCCCCACGAGTTGGGTCTAGGTCCGCAGCCACCCCTCCTGGGCCGCTGGGCACTTCCATCCATGTCTCTGTGTTGGTGTCTGTCTGTGTGTGTCCTTATTTATTTACGGAATCGTTTATTTATTCACTTATTTATTGCCTGGCACGCATAGCCACAGCCACTGACTCTTGTCCATTTACTTTCAGTGTTTGGGACCCCATGCCTCTGGGACCATGCTGCCCCCCTGGGGGTCCCCGTACTCACTCCTGGGGGCAGTGTTAATAGGGGAGGAGGCCCCACACTGCCTCAGGGGCTCAGTTTGGGGCAGCGAGCTGGTCAGCGGTGCGCAAGCTGGCCTGGCCCCAAGGGGCCGGCTCCTCTGAGCAGGTGCAGACCCTTGTCTCCCAGCTGAGCGCCTCCTCCCTGTGTCCACGCGTCTGTCTCCTGGGCCCAAGCTGAGCGGGGCTGAGTGCACGCCTCTGCTCTTGCGGCGGCGCAGACCCAACATAGCAATACGCACCAACTCACATAATAAAATATCTCTTGGTCTCCTCGGGCTGTGGCTGAGCGTCTGTCCTTGGGTGACTGTGTCGCTGGCTTGTAGGACCTCTTCTGGGGTGAATGAAGAGAGCCCACAGAGGTTCTCTTTGGGCTGTCTTTTGGGGGTATTCTGGGGAGTCACCTTGGGATATCCATAGAGGAGAGTTCTGAAGATGGTGGTGTCTGACACCACGTCCTGGGGTCCCAGACATGTGAGGGGCTGTTCCCAAGGGGGGTCTAGGAAAAGAATCCTCAGAGGGGGAAGATGTTGGTGGCAGCACCTTTTCCTGCCAGGGTGGGGCGCTCTCTGGATTCGGCATCAGCCAGCCTGTGAGCCCTGGCCCTGACCGAGGGTGGGGGTGAAACCAGGCAGGAGCGATGACCGGGGACTCTCCCCGGCTCCCGTTCCCTCCCCATGGGGCACCCTTGTGCTCTGCCAGCAGGCTCCCTCCAGTCACCGTCACTGGTGACTCAGAGCCTGGAGATTTAGGTGGAAACAGGATGTGTGCTCAGGGGAGTGGGGGCTGAGAGGATCCAGGACCAGGGGTCACTGGACTCACCCAGAGGTCACTGGGGTCACAGGGTGCACAGGTGGTGAAGTGGTCACCAGGCTTTGTGGGGTCACAGGTCTCCACCTGGGGTGGGGGTTGTCATAGGGCTCTTATCCTGGGAGGTCACACCAATCATAGAAGTCTTGGGAAGACCACTGAGTTCATGAAGAAGCTTATTAACTTCATGGGGGTCACTGGGGTTTCTAGGGGTCGTTCAGTTTTCTAGGGGTCATGAAGCTCCTCACAGCACCCTCTGGTGCCCTCACTCAGTGCAGTCCACTGTAGTCCTTCTGGTACACTAGAAGCTGAGGAGGGGTTCTGGTCCAGGTTAAGAGGTGTTTGGGCTGGACACTCGAAGAGACCTCAAAGGCTCAGGTAGACCCAGCCCTCCCCGTGGGCCCCGCCCTCCAGTTCTGGGGCGGGAACGCCCCTTTCCCAGCCCCACCCGAGGCTGGAGGTGAGGCTTCTCCCGACTGAGGACCAGGCACAGCTCTCCAGCCAGCCCATGGGGAACAGCCAGTGCATCCCCCAGGCCCCCCGGAGGCTCCGGGCTTCCTTCTCCAGGAAGCCCTCCCTGAAGAGCACCAGGTGAGGGGCGGGGCAGAGGGAGGCAGCTCGGCCACTGGTGTGGGCTCCAGGTCGTGGGTCCTCCTGCTCCCCGCCAGGCTGTGAGCCCTCCTTCCTGCTCCCCAGAGAGGATGGCTCCAGGAGGCGGGCTGGCCTGTTTGGCAGTGAGGCTGGCCCCGACCGGGACACGGCAGCTGACAAGATCCTCTACTACATCCCTGGGCCGGTGAGCGAGCAGGGAGAGGTACATTGGGGAGGGTGGGGGAAGATCCTTCCTTATATCCAGGGGACAGCAAGCTGCACTGGGTGAGTTCCACTCCCATGGCTGTCACGACTGGATTTGGGCACCCCCACCAGGGTGACCCTGTGTTTAAGCTCAGCTTTGGTTCCTGCCAGCCCAGAGGGTTTCAGCTGTAAAGACAGGGGGACGCAGACACCGCCTGCTGGGCCCCATCCGCCCAGAGTCTGGGGAGAGCGAAACCGGCTGACTGAGTCAGGGTGTCGTGAGCGAGCGGCACCGGGAAGGGGCGGGCCAGCGGGCGGGGCTGGGAGTGTCCCACACCCAGGCCAGCGTCCAGACCTGCAACCCGCCAACCGGGCATGCCCCCACCCCTGCACTTGGGGAACAGAACAATCACCCACAATCCATGCCATGGGCCATTGTGTGGCTGTGATGGCCCTGTCATCCCTTGAAAAGGGGGCAGGGGGTTGAGAACCTGTCCCCTAGGCAGGGACTGCAGGTGTGCTTGCTCTCGCCTCACCCTCAGAGGCTCCCAGGGGTCCAGACTCTCATCCCTCCACTTCCTGTATCCCCATCCTCGCTGCCCTTTTCACCTTACAGTGACCAGAGTCACACTACATGCAGGGTATCCCCAAAATGTGCCACCTCTTGGTGGAGGGAGCTGGAGTCACCCTTGTTCCATTCCAATGGGGTGATGGGTTAGCGGAGCACCAGGGAGGGGGAAATGCTTATTACAATCAGCTGGTCCAGGGCTGGGGGCTCCAGGACTGACAGGAACCCCTTTGCTGTTTTTCCCCTGGGGTGGCACCAGGCTAACAGTGGGAGGGGATAGGCAAGAGTTACTAGCCAGAAAAGGGGAAGGCTATTAAAGAAAAGGGACCACACTTTCTTGTCCTGAAGCTGGGGGAGGAGTCATACCTGTTCTCAGGACCCCCCCATCCCCTGTGTCCCTGTTCTATTCAGACACCCCCCCCATCAGACTATAGTCCCCAAGGCCAGCCTCAGGATGCTTCTGGGACACCATGGCTGGAGAGGGCTGAGCTCCTTGAACCCAGGCAGGTGGGCGGGCAGCGGGCAGACAGGTCTGCTGTGGAGGGGTTCCTGGTTGTGTGGCCTATTTTCAGGTGTCCCAGGCCGACGTCAGCTCCCACACTGGGTGTGGGTGTGGAGGCCCCACCCAGGGGCAGGGTGGCCGAATAAGCTGTGCGTCTGTCTGTTCACATTCCTGGGCTTGCTCAAGAGGTGGCTGTGGCTCAGCCTGGCCAGGGCAGCAGCCATGCGGCAGCCTCAAAGCCCCCAAAGAAAGCATAGCCCCTACTGGACACAGAGCGCCCCCCTGGCGGTCTGCTCTGCTCCCCTGCTTCCCCCACTGGTGACCAGATCCTCTATACAGGGCTGTGTGTGCAGGGCGCTGGCTGGACATGCCCTCCTCCTCCTCTTCCTCCTCCCTCCTCCCTCCTCCAGCAAATAGAGTGAGACCCCCACACTTCCTAAGCATTGACTTTTAGGCCCTCGAAGTTCAGCAGCGAACAAAGGAGACAATGACCCCTGTTCTTGAAGCACCCACAGTCCAGAAGCAGACAGATGACAAATAAGTGGAAGATGTCCCTGTTAGTGTTGGACAACACTGAGGAGAGAAGGGCAAAGTCCCTGGGGCAAAGCCCTGGGGGCTGGGGTGAGGGTGAGCAAATGTTGGGGAGCTGCAATAGCCAGTGCAAATGCCCTGAGGCCAGTGTGTGCTGGTGTGAAGGAGACTAGGGGGAGTCCTCCAGGACGCTCTGGGCCATGGTCAAGTCCTTGGCTTTTACTGTGCATGAGGTGTGGGTGACGCCATGTCGTGTAGGAGCTGCCTTTGTTAATGAAGATTATTGGTGGGAGGAGTCACACCTCAGAAATGGGCATATGGACTGTTTTTTGGGGGGTAAAGGTGAAGAACCAGGTGTTGAACATCTACCAGCCTACACTGGAGAGGTAGAAGGCTTGGGCGTCACTTCACCCAAACACCACAAAACCCCTGTGGCTGACACGTCGTGACAAGTTAAGTAGCCAAATTGAGGTCTCATCGCTGAGGTCACTACAGTGAAGTTTAATCTGTTTAAGTCCAAATCTAATCATTCTCACCACTGTGCCATCTGGCTGTGTATGTCTGTGTTGTTTCTTGAGTCTGTGTATGAGCGTGTTATCTGTAGGTGAGGGTGATGGTCTGTGTGTATGCCACGTGATGGAGGTGATGTGACTGGCACCTGCATGGCTGCCTGACCTCCTGGAGCTCACTGATAGGCCTGCAAGTGCGGCATCTCACTGTGGGCTGACCTGTGTGCCTTCGTGTTTGCCTTGTCCTCTGTGTATATATGTGTACCACCTTCTTATCAAAGTTACCCCTGATAGACTCTGTCCAAACGTGCAGCCCTCCTGATGTCCCTAGTCCCCCTCCCCTTGTCTAAATTGTTAGGTGTCATCGAGTTGAAACTGACTCATAGCTGGCCCTCCAGCAGGTTTTCAGAGACAGTAAATCGACACGGGAGGAGATCAACCATCTTTCTCCTACAGATGGATTTGAAGCTCATGCCTTTGGTTTGGCAGCGCAATTCCTTACCACTAAGCCATCGGAGCTCCTACAAGCTTCTTGCTGGTTGTGTAGCTAGGTCCTGTGTCACCAGAGTCGGAGAGGGGTCTGTCCGGGACACCTAGGTCAGCTGCAGAGGCAGGTGCTGAGGAAGTGTCTGTTGAGGGAGGGGTCTTGGAGACGCTGAGGCCAAGGGTCATCTGGTGTAGAGGAGCACCAGGACTGTTGTAGGTCCTGGGACCTCAGACCCAGACCTACCTCTGGGATGGGCTGCTGCCCTGAGCTCTTCCCCAATCCTGTCCCAGGACATCCCAGGCCTGGAGGGTCAGAGCGAAAGCCTGGACCAGCCATTCCTGAGTGTGTTCAAGAAAGGACGGCGGAGGGTGCCCGTCAGAAACCTGGGCAAGGTCCTGCACTATGCCAAGGTCCAGCTTCGGTTCCAGCATAGCCAGGTGGGTGCCCAGCCAGGGACAGGTGGACACCTTCAAGACCAGCCTCCTGTTACCCCTTGGGCCCTCAGACCTCTCATGCTCTCCCCCCAGGACACCAGCGACTGTTACCTGGAGCTGTTCCCTTCTCACCTCTACTTCCAGGCCCATGGCTCTGATGACCTTACGTTCCAGGTGAGAAGGGAGACTGAGGGCCAGGTTACTACTACCCCACGACCCGCTGAGGGCTGGAGGGTAAGGGAGGATGCAGGGGAGTAGCTGGTTGGGGTGGTGAGGACTGTGTGTCCCCCAGAGACCCCCCTCACCCTCCCGCATGGCCTGACAGGGGCTGTTACCACTGACAGAGCTGAGTGTTTGCCCCGTGGAAGGGTCCGAGGAGCATGCCTTCCAGATAACAGGTGAGGAACAGGAAGCTGGGGCATTTTCTCACCCTGCCTGTGTTGCCCTCCCCAGAACTGACCACACTGGGTCTACTGGGTGCTCTTGGTGCCAGTCGAGGCCACTGGACCAAACCCTAGTCCTGGGTTGCCTTCTGCGAGTCATGTGGACACGCAAGTGGGTGGGCTGAGCTTGGGGGAGGAGCAGCAGGCTTGGGGACTCTCAGAGCTGTGGTGTGGGTCCCTTCATTGTCTGAGACCCACTGCCCGCTCACCCGCTGCAGGCCCACTGCCTGCCCCACTCCTCGTGCTCTGCCCCAGCGCCGATGAGCGTGCCCACTGGCTCTACTACCTGGAGAAGCAGATGGCCCTTGTTGGGGGGCTGCGGCGCTGCCACTCGGTACCCCCACAGGTCAGTGCCTGGCGCAACTTGGACCCAGCTCCTATCCCATCCCATTCTATCCTATCCCACCCCATCTCTTCCCCCTTCCTTGGTTGGCCCTAACCCTCCCTTTGCCAGGGTCCCCATGGGGAGGAGCTCCCCTGGACTCTACAGCGCCGACTGGCCCGGCTGCGGACGTCCTCGGGACACGAGTCCAGAGGCAGTGCCATCTGTGCCTCTCGGGTCAAGCTGCAGCATCTGCCTTCCCAGGTGGGCAGGGCGGGATGGGAGGGGGCTGGGAAAAGGACAAGAGAACCTTGGGGAGCAGGGTGATAAGAGGCCTATGGGAGGGCAGGATGAGGGTCTTGGGGGAGGGACATGAAGAGGGGAGACCAGGGACAGGATGAGGGGCCTTGCAGAGGGGCGTGAAGACTCTGAAGCAAAGCAGTCAGTAGCCTGGTCCTTCGTGTCCAGCAGCTCCAGCCTTGTCCTCTGCCCCATGCCCACAGGATCTGTGTGACCGGCTTCTGGTCCTGTACCCAACCTCCCTGGTCATCTTCTCCGAGGAGCCTGATGGACTCTGCTTCAAGGTGAGCCCCTCCCCTCTCTGGCGATCTGCCTAGGGAGGTGCCTTATGCGTGGGGGTGGGAGGGGGCCGGGACTCAGGAGGAACCTGTATTTCGGGGCCTGTTGGGACAGAGCACGCTGGCCCCGCCTGCCCTGCCCCGCTGCCCTGGTCAGTCTGGTCTCTCAGCTCAGATGTGAGTGAAGAGGTTCTCTGAGGCCTCCTTGAACTAGGAAGGACAGTCCTCGGTGACAAGTCAAACTGGGCTTCTGGCTCCCAGCCCCTCGGCTCCCTGAGGGCAGTGAGAGACCTGGGTGTTCTGAGCCTGTGTGTGCATGTGTGGCCCTGTACATGGTCCTGTGTGAGCTTCCACATGTGCGCCATATCAATGCCTGAGTTCATGTATGTGAGCCCATGTGTACATGGTCTGTATGTGGTCCTGTGTGAGATTCCATGTGTGGTCCATGTTGGTGCCTGTGTGTGAATCTCTGTGGGAGTGTGCACAGGTGATAGTGTGTGTGTGAATGTGCACAGGTGATACTGTGTGTGAATACACATGTTCCATCTCATGTATGTGTCTTCAGAGAACCTTCCAGCAACTCCCCGCCCCCATACTCTCATCTGCTCTGGGGGGCAGGGCTGAGGGATTAGCCTTGTAGGGGAAGGGGACCAATGCCAGCCTCGCCCACCCCACAGGGGGAGCTCCCACTCAGCGCCATCCACATCAACCTGGAGGAGAAGGGGAAGCAGATCCGCTCCTTCCTGATCGAAGGTGGGCTGGTCCCAGACCCCTGCCCCGTGTCCCTACAGGGTGGGGTGTGGTCCTTCGTGGACACCTCACCTCATGTCCATCCGTGTCCAGGCCGCTTCATCAACACCATCCGTGTGCTGTGTGCCAGTTATGAGGACTACAGTCACTGGATGCACTGCCTCCAGACCGCTGCCCTTAGGGACAGGGGCCCCGCCCTGCCCAAGCCATGGATACCCGTGCAGGTGAGCGGCCTATGTAGGTGAGGGGGTCAGCAAGAGAAACTGGACAGGGCTTCTCAGTGCCCCTCCCAGCTGTGGTAAAAATGGGCACAAAATGGTGGGTCGAGGTATGGGTAGGCAGAGGAGCGGATGACCACCCAGCCCACCCTCCGCTGCCCAGGTTGCAGGTGGTGGCCGCGGCTCCCTCTCCTCAGATGGACGGACCAGCTGGGGTTCTGGATGCCCAGCACCCTCGTCCACCTGCACCAGTCACTCCCTCCCCGAGTCCATGCCGTTGCCCCCTGCATGCTGCCCTGCCCAGCCTGGACCTGTGAGTACCACGGTGGGGGTGGGAGCGGCCACAGCTAGTATGTACCAGGGAGCCTGGTTCCCACAGTGCTCAGGGGAGGGGACCCAACAGGAGGAAATTACATGAAGCCTCCAAGGGTTGTGTAGGGGAGGGATGTGATGGAGACCTTCTGGAAGCTTCTTGGTTCCCACAGGAACAGGCTGACCCAGGCTACGCCAGCATCAACCGCCGGAGGTCAGAGCTGAGACGAGGGGGCAGCAGCAGGTCACCCAAGGGCAAGACCCAGGGAGAGAGGCCCAGCCCAGTCCCCCCTCTGCACTTGGACCTGGACCTGACCAAGGTGGGCCCGATCCCCTGACCCTTGCCTTGGCCCCAGGCCCCGCTCTCACTCTCTCACCACCTTGGCTTCTGCCCCTCATGGGCCCCCATAGGCCTGTTACAAGGAAGAAAGCGCTCAGGCCCCTTTAAGCTCAAGGAACTTGTCTCTTCTGACTTCTTCACCACAGCCGAGCAGACTGAGCCTGGAAGGGGGCCCAGATGACCCTTTGGAGCCACCACACTCTCCACTCTATGCTGACCCCTACACCCCACCTGCTACCTCCCACCACAAGATCACAGACGTCCGGGGCCTGGACGAGGTCAGTGTCCTGATGGATGAGGAGGGGCTGGGAGGGGCCAGAGCCTGAGATTTAACATGTGCCCCAAACCCAAGGTCTGAGTATGACCGGGGATCTGCAGTGTCCCCTTCACTTGGAGTCTGGGAGCGTGAATACTTCTGTTCTGAGGCTCAGAAGCCTCTGCTCTGCTAGGGCCTTGGTGGGAGGACAGGAGGTCACTGCATGTCCGGTCACCCAGGCTTTCCCCACAGTTCCTCAGTGCCATGCAGAGCTCCTCTGGGCCTGACCCACCTAGTGCCTTCCCCGCTGTCCCTGTGTCGGTGCCTGTTTCTGAATCCAGCCCTGGCCCCCACCAGCTGCCCAAGAAGGGGGCCTCACAGGGTCGAGCGTCTCAGAGACACCGAGGCTCCTTCAAGGGTCGGGGGCCAAGGCCCCCAGACTCCCCTCAGCTGGTAAGTAGCAGCCTGACTTGAGGAAAAGTGTGTGGGAGGGGGTCACATGGCAGAGTGGGGTACAGAGGGAGGGGTGGCATAGGGAAAGATGTGGTATTGCAAAGAGGGGTCAGATGAGAGAGTAGAGTGCAGGAGAGGGGTAGGGTATGTAGTGGGTGGGGTGGTGAGGGAGAAAGGGGGGCCTTCCACAGCCCAAAGGTGCAAGAAAGACAGTATGAGTGGAGATGGGGTGTCAGAGGCAAGGAGCAGAAAAGGCAGCAGAATTGGAGAAGGGAGACGAGGAAGTGGAAAGGGGAAGAGGCAGGGCCATAAGGGTGAGGGAGGCCTGGCCGACCGGGAGGGTGAGCCTGTACCCCAGGCCCCTTAAGCTCCCTCCCCAGGAAACAAACAGGGAAAAATCATGAGGCTGGAATTCTGGCCTCAGACTAGCTGTTTGGGGCCCCCAGGTCTCCCCTTTGAAGGAAGGTTCACCTAAACGCCTGCTGACTCCCCCAGGTGAGTGAAGGGGCTTCCCTCCACCCCCACCCTGGGCCTGGTGGGGCCCAGGCTCCCCCAGCCTCTCCACCAACACCCTTCTGCCCTCCAGCCGCCTGCTCCCCCCAGAGACGTGCAGACCCCAGCTATGACAGCGTCTTGGACGAGGCCACAGCGCCCTCTCACCAGAAGTGTCCCCGGCCAGGCGGACCAGAGGCCGAGCGTGCTCTGACCCAGTGGATCTGATGCCATCGTTGTGCTGGGACAGAGGGTGGCTGCTTCTCAGAGGCCACCACTTCAGTGCTTGGGCTTGGAGGGATCTACCGAGGGGTCTGGGTGGGCCCATGGATCAGTTGTCGCCTTTGACCTGTTAAATTCAGGGCCCCTGGGGCCTGAAACTCTGGACTCTGGCTCCCAGATGCCTCCAGCAGCTAGAGGGAGGTCATGAGGGGAGCTAGTCCCTCATGGGATGCCCTCCCTGTGTTGTTGGGACCACAGATTGGAGGGGTCATCAGGGTGGTCCCTCAGCCTTGCTCCCCAAGGAGGAAGTGGGGGAGGGGAGTTGCTGGGTGCTTCATCTAGGGGTCAGAAGGCAGTACTGGTGTGAATACTCAGTAGAGGGCTGAGAAAGTAAAATAGGTGAGGGTTTGTGTATGTCAAAGGGGAAATGTCAGTGGACACGAGGGTCAGAAGTCAGTTTGAGACATCCCACATGGAAGGGTGAATTGCAGGGAGGTTGGAGGCCCTGGAGTTGCTTGGGCCTGTGTGAGCTGGGGGAGGAATGGTCAGGAGAGACTAAACACTAAACAAGAAAGAAAGAAAAGGAGATTTTATTGGTTCTGTGTGTGTTCACATGTTCCCCGCGATGACGCTCCTTGGGACCCCAGTCCTTGCTCCCACTTCACAGGGTACCTACTGAACTTACCCCCCGCCCCCACACTATCCAGTCAGACTCCTCAGCCACCATTATGCTGCCCATGGGACCCCTGGGAGAATCCCAGCTCCCCAGCTCCCCACCACTGCCCTGTGTCCACCTCTATACCCTCTGTCCAGAGCCCCCAAAGGTTGGGTCGAGGCTCCACCCTGCAGACCCCTATTCTACAGGGGCTGCCTGTAATCTCTTTCTCCTGGTGTCCCTGCTCTTGTGCCAGCCTGTCCAATGCCTTAGCTACAGCCTTCAGTACTGAGAGGTCTTAGAGGCCCTCACTAAGCCCCCCACCTGGGAGCAGGACAATGACTCCTGGGAACCCCCTGGCCTAGTGGCCTCAGCCTCCAATTGCTTCTCTCCATCAGTCCTCCCTCTGTGTCCTTGCTGCAGTCTTCACCTGATCCTGCCTGCCCTTCACGGGGGATGCCAGGTGGGGCACAGCTAAGCAACAGGGCACTTTCTTGTTCGCAAATGTCCCACCCACCACCATAAGCCTGCCATTCACGTTCCTCTGGGCATCCTGCATTTCATTTGCTGAATCATCTGGTCACACTACTGCCCACCTCCCTGCTCCAGAATCTCCCCAGTGATCAGAGAGGGGGCCGTGGTCCCAGCCACTTGCTGGAACCTCTGGTGGAGTCAGGGGGAACCAGGATCAGGACGTCAGGCTCCCATCTGATCACGTGGGAGTCAGATTTAGGTCCAAAGACACCGCCATCACGTCAGCACCTGTGACCAGCTCCTGGTCCTCTCTTCCTGGGAAAGGCTGACTCCTAGGAGCTGGGGCTGGGGCTGCGGCTGGGGCTGCGGCTGCGACTGGGGCTGGGGCTGGGGCTGCGGCTGCGACTGGGGCTGGGGCTGGGGCTGCGGCTGGGGCTGCGGCTGCGACTGGGGCTGGGGCTGCGGCTGCGACTGGGGCTGGGGCTGGGGCTGGGGCTGGGGCTGGGGCTGGGGCTGCGGCTGCGACTGGGGCTGGGGCTGGGGCGCCCCCGTGCCACCTGGCGGCGGAAGTACCGGATGGCTGAGATGGTGCCAATGTTGGCCAGCAAGACTGCAAGAGAAGTGCCAAGACCCTGAGTGCTGACTGAGACGTGGACACCCCCTTTCTGCCCATAAAACGCCTCCCTAAAAGGGTCAGAGAAGGCTAGCCATGGGAGGAGCAAGGTCAGGGGAGAACCTCAGATTCCTTGTCCTACCAGTGCCCACCCCCTGCTGGGCCAGGTGCCCCTGGTGAGGCTTTCTCTCACTTCCGGTCACCAGCCCCCACCCTTCCCCATAGGCCCTCAAACCTGTTTTCCAGGCATCTGGGGTGTGCAAGTCTGATGTCCTCACAGCCCACGTGGCAAAGGCCACAAACACCAAGCACATGTCCTTCTGGCTGAAGGTAAACACGGGGAGAGGACCCCGGGGTTTGCCTAGGAAACAGAGACACATATCCACTCCAATTGTTCTCAGAGGCACACTGCACATCCATCCCCAACACGTCTGTCCTGAGTTAACATCTGCCTCTGACATGTCTGTTCTGTGTCCTGTCTGTCCGGGATGCCTCTTTTTTTTTTTTTTTTTTTAGTCACACCTTCCCTGTGATGTGTTCTCCCGAGACACCTGGTGGTGTGTGCACAGCTGAGTCAGAATGATGGGGACGTCCCACTGTGAGCCTTCCTTCTTGCTAAATGCCTTGCAGAGGTGACAGGAGACCAGGGTGAACCTCCCAGATCTGGGCAGGTAGCCAGGCCTGAGGAATAGTCTCTGCCAAACCCCAGGGTCTTGGGGGAGCCCTGAGAGCTGGCTCTTTCTTCTCATCAGTTCTGGCCCTCCCTCCAGCTCAGGACCTGGTCTGCTGCCCCCTTGGGTCCTGCCCAGCCCCTCCGCAGTCACCCTCTTGGCTGAGCTCCCTGGACTGTCTGTTCCCGAGACCTGGCTGTGGGGCCGCCTGGCACTCACCTGCTCGCCTGCCCGCCAGAACAAGTGCATCTGTGGCCACCCTGGGCTCCGGTGGGGGACTCAGCTCCAGCATGCAGCCTGGCCTCTCCTCCCCAAAGAAGTGCTCATAGGCCTCAGGGAGAGAGATGGGCACTGGGTCTCCAGGTGGAGGAGCTGGCCCAGGCTTGGCCGGCACAGGGTCAGCTGGCATGCAAGGGGCTACAGGGCGGCCCCCATGTGGCCTCGGCCTCTGGGGCCTGCAGTCTCGGAAGAAGAACTCACAGACATCCGGCCACTGCATGTCCCCCGGGACCTGCCCAGCCGCCCCTTCCTCAGCATCTTCCTCCTCCTCTTCGATGGTGTCACAAAACAGAAACTCATAGGCCTCAGGCAGCGTCAGGGCAAAGCTCCCCGACCTGGGGCCTTCCAGGGTGGAGGGGGCAGGGGGAGGCAGGTGCTTGAGGATCCGAGGCTGGGGGGGCCGGGACCGGACCGCAACAGCGTCCCAGGCTCCTGGTGCTGCTCGGCCCCCCGCTGCCACCCTAACTGGTGAGAGTGGGCCTGGGGTCATCGCAGGCCCTGGTTCTTGGGAACTGGGCTCAGCCATAGAGAATCTCACTTTCTTCTTCTTGGGGATCTGGGTAGGACCTGGAGGGAGGTCCCCTGAGAGGTGCCTGGTGGCATCTGCTGAAGGCTTGGGCCCCTCTGAGGATGAAGTGAGACTCAGATTCAATCTAGTTGTAGGTCCAGGTTCCCCCCCACCAGGCTGGGCCCCAGGAGCAGAGGGCTGGGAGGGGACAGCTGTGGTCACTTTGGGGTCAGGAACACACACATCCACACTGGACTTGTCCTGGGGGTCAGGAGGGGACAGAGCTGAATGGAGGGTAGCCACTGAGATAGGAGTAGATGGATCCACACGAGGTTTGACCCTTTGGGCCAGTGTCGGCACATCCACATCCAGCCCAGGTGTGAAGACGGGAGCAGACAGTATTCCACCTGGTGGAGACTGGGGTCCAGGTGTAGGTGGAACCCCACTGAGTGGAGGCTTTGTGTCAGGTGTGGACACAGCACCACGGGGTGAAAGCTCAGAGCTGCATGTTGATGGTGCTCCTGTGGGGGGTGGCTCAGAGTCAGGTGCACACACGGCCCCAGTGGATGGTGGCTGAGTGTCAGGAGCAGGCAGGACCCCATCAGAGTCAGGTAGAGGCAAGACCCCATCAGGAGGTGCAGATAGAGCCCCACAAGGTGGAGGCTGGCAGTCAGGTGTAGACAGGGTCCCATCAGGAGGTGACTCAGATGGTGTGGATGGAGCCATACATGGTGGAGGCTGGAAAGTAGGTGTAGACGGAGTACTGTGGATGGGCGGCTGGGAGTCAGGTGTAGACAGTGCCCCATCAGATGGCGGTTGAGGGTCTGGTGTAGACAAGGCTGCATCAGAGGACGAGTTCTTAGAGTCAAATATAGACGAGGTTCTCTCGGAGGATGAATTGTTAGAGGCAGGTACAGATGGGGCCCCATCAGGTGGAGTCTGAGAGTCAGGTATATACAGGGTCTTGCCAAAGGATGACTTCTTAGAGGCAGGTGTAGACAAGGCTCCGTGAGGGGGAGGCGGAGAGTCCGGTGTAGACAGGGCCGCACCAGAGGATGAGTTCTTAGAGTCAAGTTCTGTTGAGAACCTGTCAGGGGATGACTTGTTAGAGGCAAGTGGAGATGGGGATCTGTCAGGTGGAGTCGGAGAGTCAAGCGTAGACAAAGTCCCATCAGGTGGGAGCTGGGAGTCAGGTGTAGACAGAGCCCCATTGGGGGATGGCTCAGAGTTAGGGGTGCACGTGGGGTGCAGCTCGGCTAGGGCAGCTGTTCCGACCTGGTCTGCATCTTTCTCTGTCTTGAATGCAGAGGTGGGCAGCCTCACCCCAGGTGCTCGTCGTGGAGCCGGAGTTGGGGAGCTGGAACCAGCCCCAGGAGTCTGCGCAGAGTCCAGTCCTTGCCTGGTGACCGTGGCTCCCTCTGCAGCAAGGACCCGGGGCTTGGTCTCGGCGGGCGGCGAGGAGTCTGGCTGGGCTGAGGCTCCCTGGGGTCCACCTCCCTTGCCACCTGTTGCACGTCTCTTCTTCCTGCTAGGACTCCGTGGTGGCACCCCAGGGCTGCTGGGTGACTTCTGAGGGGGCTTGGGGCTGTGAGAAGGCTCATTCGGGACCCCAGGGGCAGGGCCACGGGGGGCCGGGCCCTGGAGAAGCCTCTGCATCTCGCCTCCTGGACACTCAGGCCCCAGGCAGGACACAGCACGGACGGGAGGGCCTGCGCCAGAGCTGAAGGGCAGCCGGGCTTCTGTCTGTGCGGACGTGCTGGGTGTCTGCTGACCAGCCCCCAGGGCCAGGCTGAGCTCACACCTGCTGACCAGCGGCTGGGTGTCTGCGTCCTTCTGCTCCTCACGGCCCCACTGGCCCCTCCTTCCCAGAACCAGCTGCCCAGTGAGGAGGGGTGGGGGCCCAGGCGGGCTGCTGCCACTGCTGTCCCCTTGGTCAATGTCACTGGACAAGGGCTCATCCCCAGATGCCAGATCAGCCTGTAGGAGGCCACACTCATCGGCAGTGGCGGAGAACTCAGCCCAGTCCTGGTCACTCAGCTGGACGCTGTATTGGAAGTTTTCCATGTTGAGTCAGCCAGGCCCCCGCAGCAGGTGGAAGAATGGAGACGGGGTGTCAGGGGCCCTGGCCTGGGGCAGCAGGTAACGCCCTCCCCAGGGGCTCCAAGGACAGCCCCGTAGGCCTCTGTCCAGGGGATCTGTGCTCCATCCCTGCCCTGAAAGAAAGCAGAATGGGCTATTCCAGTAGGAACAACGTGTTCTTTCCAAACCTTTCTCTTTGCTTCCTCCAAGATGGAAAATCTTCCACTTCCACTCTGCCCCTTTCAAGGGGAGCCTGTGATGATTCTAAAAGAGGCCAGATGATGTCCCTGACGTCAGACAAGGCGTCAGAGCCTCACAGTCCCTCACGCTGAAACGCTGTCACTCCATGATTCCTGCATTTCTTTGCACATCTCAGGGGTTGGGCTTCCACTGTTCTCTTCCTCCAAGGAGACTCTGTCTACTCGTGAGGCCCCCGGGACCAGAGAGCTCTGGCCTGTCCCAGCATTCCCTAGGAGGCAACTGGCCAGGGAGGCGGGCCTCAGTGTCCAGCAGGTGACCAGCCCTCAGTGACCTTCCGCCCTCCTTGGTGGAGACAAGTTGGGCAGGGATGGCCATGTGCTGGGCTTCCTCGGAGCTCGCCAAGGTCACAGGGCTGCCAGAGCCAGTGCACGGCTCAGCTGGCAATGGTCCTGTGCATGCCTGGCCAGCGTCACAGCATGCAGGGGTGTGTCCTGACGCCCTGCAGCCCTCAGGGACACCCCCAGCATTTGTGTCCCCACCAAGTCCTGACTCTTCCTCTGCCTCAGTGAGTCCTCCTGGCTCTCAGCACCTGGGGCCACTATTCAACCCTGGCTGGGCAGACACTTAGTTCTGAGAAGGAGTTCAAGACTAGAGCCATGGCTCCCTGACCCACTGACCTTCACCTTCTTAGCCCGCCCCTAGGGAGGTCTCCATGAAGGCTGTCACCATGGGGATCACATAAGAGGGGAATGAGGGTCAGCAGTGCCCTACCTGGGACCCCAATGCTGAGTGGAGTTCAGAGGGGCCTAAGTTCAGTCTGTCCCAGGAGACACCGTGCGACCAGGAAGGCCCCACCCCCACGCCAAAAATACCACATCCTGCCGGTCACACGCGCCTCTTGCTGCCTGCAGATCCAGGCCACAAATAGATGGCATTTGAGGGGCTTGCAGTTACGTGAGGGACACCTCCCAGAGCAGCAGGCCTGGTGCTGGCACAGGCTGAGAGAGGACGAGGCCAACAAGAAACCAATACTCAGAAACCCAGCCTCCAGTCTGTCTTCCTAATGCTGGCAGCGCCTCTGAGCTTCCTCTTCTCTCAGCCTCGCCCTCCCCCTGATGCCCCTTCCCCTGGCCCCTGCATCTGCCTCACCTTGGCAGTGGGGCCTTTTATTTAGACACAGCCCAGGTCCCAATGCCTGGGGAGTCAGAGGGAATTAAAAATGACCAGGGTCCAGAATGTCCCTAAGGGTCCTTTGGAGGTGAGATATTCGATTGTAGGAGAAAGGCTAGCACCTTCTCAATCTGGCCTTGAGAAGATCCCCCAAGCTGTGTGGCTGACCTGTGGTTGGGGCCGTGTGCAAGTGGAGACAATGGGAGCTCTCTAGGGCCACTCAGGCGGGTTGGGCCCTGGGCCTCAGGGAGGCTGGATAAGATGGGAGGACCTAGAGGAGCAAAAGCATGATCATCATCAAACAATTCACTCTTGACCTAGTGTTAAAACATTGCAGAAAAAACTAAAACAAACAACGACCACCAAAAGCCAAAACCAAAACCAACCAACAAAATATTGCGAAGGCATCCAGGCACAGTCTGACTTCCACTCAATGTAGGGGAAGGATCCTTAATAGCAAGAGGAACAAAGCCAATTCCTATGAGATCAGATATGTCCTCCACCCACCTCACTTACCTACGATTTTAACAGCAAGCATCTCTCCCAAGGCTCTTACTGTTGTTATTATGTGCCATCAAGTCACCTGCGACTCACAGCAACCCTACGTACAGTAGCTCTCAATCCTGCTCTACCGTGAGCCAGTCTCACTGACTTTGACACACCTAACCCCATTGCCCAAGTTACTATGTCAGTCCATCTCATGTAGGGGTCTTCCTCTCCTGTGCTGTCCCTCCATCCTTCTGAGCAGGATGTCCTTCTCCAAGGACTGGTCCCTACTTGCCACATGCCCAAAGTATGTGAGATGGAGCTTCAAAATCCTTGCCCCCAAGGAGAAACTTGGTTTTACCCTCTCCAGGACAAACTATTTGTTTTGGTGGTCCATGACATGTTCAATACTCTTCTCCAGCACCACAGCTCAAAGACATTGATTCTTCTGTAATCCTTCGTCATTGTCCAGCTCTCTGACACATAGCAAGTAACGGCAAAGATCAGGTGCACCTTAGTCTCTAGACCGACTAATGGAATTGCTCTTGAGCACTTTGGCAATTCCTCCCAGCAGACTTTCTGAGTGCAATTCATCTTTTGATTTCCTGACCGCTGATGTCAAAAGTGTTGATTGTGGAGCTAGGCAAGCTGAACTGTTAACACTCTTTTAATCTCTTCTCCATCTATCATAGTGCTGCCAATTGACCGTGTGGTGAGAATCTTTGTCTTCTTGATATTGAACTTCAATCTATATTGAACACTATTGTCCTTGACCTTCTGCAACAAACACTTCATGTCCTCCTCAGTTTCAGCAAGCAAGGTTGTGTCATCTGCATGATGTAAGCTGTTGATGAGTCTTCCTCCAATTCTGATGCCTGATAAAGTCCAGCTTCCTGAATAATCTGTTCTTCATACAGATTGAAAAGGTGCAGAGACAGAACGGATCCCTGATACACTCCCTTCCTGATTTTGAACCATGCAGTGTTTCCTTGCTTTATTCAGATAACTGTTTTCTGGCCCAAGAATAGGTTTCTTGTGAGCACAATCGGGTGTTCTGGGAATCCCATTCTTTTTAACGTTAGCCACAATTTGCTGTGATCTACACACTCAAATGCCTTTGAATAGCCAATGAAACACAGATAGGCATTTCTCTGGTACTCTGTTTTCAGCCTAGATTCATGTGACATTGGTGATAATATCTCTAGTGCCATTACCTCTTCTAAACCCAGCTTGTATTTCTGGTAGTTCTGTCAGTGTACTGTTGCAGTCGTTTTTGGATAATCTTTAGCAGGATTGTGGCTCTTGCTACTCTTCTACAAATCCCTTGCAATGGCCACACAAAACACACAAATGATACTCACGATTATGGGGTTTATTAGGGAAGTAACCAGTTATGGTACAGGTTGGAAACACTCAGGGTGTAATTCTTCAGTCAGGACAGCTGTGCGCTCAGGTAGGTCTCTCTCTGATCCTAGGCCCCTGGTTCTGGGCTCTGATCCACATTCAAACAAGTGCTGCCAAGCTCTTTCAGTTCTGCCAATCATGTGCTACCTCCCTTTCCCAGTAAGCCCAGGCCAAAGGTGCTCCACTCAAGTTCTGCGGGTGGGCAGGCCTAGCTCAGCTGTCTCAGATGGGTCTCCAGTCCTCTGCCCTCTCTGTTGCTACATCTTTGTCTTACTCAGTTTCTTTTTTTTAAATTATTATTAATTTTAATGACAGTTTACAGAGACTTACTGTTTCCAGTTATTTACTGTTGCACTTCCCCCCATTCACTCTTCTCCTTGAAAAGTAGAGAAAAACTTTTCCTTTGTTATGCAATCCCTCCCCCCAAGTCCACTCCACTATGCAGCTTTCATTCTGGACTCATGTCATGATGATAATACCCAATCATAGATCCCTTTTAAACAGTTCTCTCCCTCATCTGTTTCAAAGCAGTATATACATCATTCCTCCCCTCCTCCTCTGCCTTCCCTCAACCCCGATGTCAGTTCTATTTTATAACAGTGGCACTATGCAGTATTTGTCCTTTTGTGACTGAGATATTTCACTCAGCATAATGTCCTCCAGGGTTATCCATTTTGCATAATATTTCATGAGTTCCTTGTTTTTCAATGCAGCATAGTATCCCATTGTGTGAATATACCACAGCTTCTCTATCCATTCATTTGTTGATGGGCACTTGGGTTATTTCCAGCTCTTTGCTATTGCAAACAAAGCCACAATAAACACAGGTGTGCATATATCTGCTGGGCTGTTACTCGGTTTTTTGATCTCACTTTGTCTTGCAACAAAAAACTCTTTCCCAGACGACCTGCTGATAGTAGTGAGATTCACATTGTTTGCCTTTGAGCCTACTCAATTAATTAATTTAATTTTATGACACTATTTTGAAAGGCTATCTGCAGAAAATAAACGTGTTTGTTTAGGCTAAACCTTGATAGTAATTTTCCTTTTTTTTTATTTGAGTGTAAGTTTTCAAACCATACTGGTTTTTCATTTGATCATTCCTACACATTTACTTTAAGGCTGGCAGGATGGTAAAACCCACCAATTCATTTCCCCTTCCCTCATTCCACTCATCTTAGTTGCAGGTTACCCTCAAAAAGTGTCATTTACGTATTTGAAACATTAGCAAGCTATCCCGGATAGTTGTTGTTGTTATTTTGTGCCATCGAGTTGCCTATGACTCATAATGACCCTATGTACAACAGGTCTGAACCCAGTCCTATCTGACCCAATTTCACTGTCTCCAATACATCTGCTACATGACCCCAGTCACTGTGTCAATCCATCTCATCCAGGGTCTTCCTCTCCTGCACTGTCCCTCCACCCTTCCAAGGATGACGTCCTTCTTCAAGGATTAGTTCCTGCTGACAACATACACAAAGTATGTGAGATGGAGCTTCAAAAGCCTTGCCTCCAGAGAGCAACTTGTTTTCACCGTCTCCAGGACAGACCTGTTTGTTCTCTTGGTGGTCCATGGTATGTTCAATACACTTCTCCAGCACCACAACACAAAGGCATCAATAATTCTTCTGTTGTCCTGGATCAGGCACACCTTTGTCTCTAGACTGGCATCTTTGGATTTCAGAACTCTGGAGAGGTCCCTGGAGGCCAACTTTCCTAAT